CCAAAAGGTCTTCTTAGTTTAAGACCCACAGCCATATTTCAATGTGAGCCTACAATTACCTCCAGAAGTCCACCTGAGTGCCATCGTATTCACTACGGTTCTCGGCCATCACTTCTCTACTTCACCGGTTCTTGACACGCCAACCCCCGACACCAAGTCCATTCAATCGATCAACCTTTGACCAGGGATGCCGCCACTCCAAACCTGAAGCCTGATTCCAAGGCTATTCCTTCTTGTCCACGCTTAAAGTTTTGATTCGGGCACCTTCTTGAAGGCATCCCAAGTGATCTATGCACCTCTTGCATGAGTCTTCCAATACTGGGTATTCTGACTATGCCCTACTATACCAGGCCGAGAGGCAAAACCTGCCTGCAGGACTTCACGCTCTGACTTTTTGCGCTGCTGGATAAACTCAGCATCTAAGGCGCCTGTCGCTCCTGCCTGGACCCTGGGTTCGAATAGAAAAAGAAGCCGAATGATAGCTGCTGTAATTTGGCTACAGGCACGAAATTGAAATAACCGTGGTCAAAGGAACTGTATGACTTGCGGGGAAGTGCACAGACAAATGCTGAACGACTAGGTCCCTCTTGGAACACTAACATATGTGACATCATCATTGCTGTGCCCATGTTTGAGCTAGTACAGAACTACTACAAGGGCTTCTGTCTTTCCGCATAATTTTCCTTGTCTAGGTCCTCCAGTAGAGAGGTTGGAATAAGGCTACCCCTTTTGCTGCAGTCTATTTTAGTAGGGGAACCCTCCCAACCAAAAAAGGCGGGAGAAAGGGCACCTAGCTGGGGGACCTAGTGGTCGTGATCGATCCCCTAACCTTGATCTACCCAAGGTTTCGAGTGCAGCTTTTCGTGGTGGACGGATCTGCTCGCGAGCCGAAGCTCGCCTTTCACCAACGGCGAGATTCGCTCCGGCGTCAACGCCTGCAATCGAAGGAACATGACAGGATTTGCCCCTCGACCGTGCGCTGGGAGAAATAGAAGACCTCTAGATTTGACACCTTGTTCTGGGCGCCAGTCATTTTCTGACACGTGTTCCAACCTTCATTTCTAAAACAGTTTCCAACAAAAGTCGAGTCATTTGGGTGTGTCTGTTGTTGTGTGTCTTCTTGGGGGTACCTCTTTGTACCTTGGCTTACAGGGAAACCAACCGAAATCTGAAGCTCACCCAGTTGGGTGGGACTCGGAACAACCACCCCTTGATACACGCACCCTATCAAAGAAACCGGCTGCATCAAATGGTCGGAGTTCGTGAATTGCGATGTCGTCAGTGTTGTTTAGAGTAAATCCTAATACTGAAGGAAGCGAAAGCCATTGATTAGGTGGTCCAGCATCGTTGGAACAGACGGGGTGCAAATATCAAATTACGTATCCCCCCAATGACATTGAACCTAAAACATGTGCCCAGGTCTTTCATGCCGGCGTGTCGGTAGCCCCAGGACAGATTCCCCGGTGTCCCGGAAGTGTTTGTTGATACAAATCGTGGAGAAAGAAAAAACGACGGGCTTCATTCCGTGACTCCCAATACGAAAGTTCGCACCGCATGATGTGTGATCAGAATTGCATGCTATGTAGAAATACCAGGAAGCTAAGATGAAAGCCATTTCCGCCGATCGCCGTGTTTTGGGGGCAGTACAAACTTCTTTGTCGGGGCAGTTCCGCCAAAAGTCCAACACGGCCAACATTGGAATGAATCCTTGGGTTGATGCGGCTCCAGTAATTGCCCATGCTGGCGGGTGTGTGTGTGTGTATATAATGTGCAATCCCCACTGTCTGCTCTGAGGATGCTTCCGAAGCACGTTCTACGTAGAACAAATGCATGGAAAAGCCGATAAACCCACCTGAATACTTAGAGGGATAGATTGACATCCTCGCTTAGCTGGAATCATGCGCGACTACTTGCCAACTTGCTTGATTTCATCTCTCACACCTTTAATTGATTCACCCCCACAGACACTAAGACACTGAGCCGCCATGTTTCTCAGGCAGCTCGCCAGATCATGCCAGAGAAAATCGTTGTCGAAAATTCGAATCTACCGTCTCACCCTTTGAGGGCGTCAAAATCAAAAGCGACCTGACGACCTGACACAGACCAGTTGACTGAGTCTTTCTTGTTTTGGCACCAACTCCTCACTTGAGTAACTCCTCACTTGAGTAGATTGGCCAAACAAAATCCAAGCTTCGTGCTTGCCGTACAACAATTGTGCAAACCCAGAAAGCAGCTAAAGTCCGAAGGAATTCAGGAATTGAGACTCAAGCCCAAAAACTGCTTAAGCTGCCCTCAACGCGATTGACGTGCAGGGTCAACGCCCTCAAAGTTGAGAAACTTCGAAGATTTTTGCCATACGCGACTGGTGGTTGCTCTATTGGCTTCCCTTTAAACACCATAAAGGGTCCAAGTTTGAGAAGCCCCCCCATTGGCTGGCTGGCTTGCCGTTAAAAGACTCCAGAGAGGCCACACTGTGGGTATGTCTTTTTTTTAGGGAGATTTCAAGGTGGTTTTCCTAGCTCCCCTTCAAACCACCCAAAGCAGAAACGAGGGGAACCAACTCAGGAAAAAAAAACAACGAGCCACCCATATCACACCTGTCTTGGGCCTTCCGAAGAGCGAAGAAAAGCGTTTCGCTCGCTTTGTACACCGGCAGCTTTAGCCGGACAGCCAAGGCCAGGGATCCGTGACCCAGCAACAAGCCAAGTGGTTGGTCGCTGTGCCAGCTTAAGAACAGAAGTCAAGACCGCAAGGAGCTGAAACCTGAAACCTCGCAAAATTAGAGATTCAGAGGTCAGATCCATGGTCCTCGCACTGCTGTGGGAAGACTCTTAGCTTGCCAAAGGGTTCCTGAGCGAACTTTTCGACTAGAACTGCTAGCTTTCGGCACAAGCACAAGCTCTTTCGCTTTGTGCCACGCAGCCTTGCGCCTCACTGATGCGGGCACTCAATGCCCTCATGCCTCCGCACGCTATGCACAGCTCGCTTCGTTTCTCTTCTTTGGGTATCTTGCTCAAAATTTGCCTGTCAACCCGATTGCTCATTGGCCGTGGAAAATTCAGGAGGACAGTTATGTGGGAAAGGGGGATGGGCTTGTCATACACAGCCAAATCCACAGCAACACACAAACCTTGAATCTCGCAAGTTATCGCTAGTCTTGCTTGCGCACTTGCCACAAAATAGCCAAAGAAACATGCACCACACATATCGCAGCTCAAAGTTGGTAAGTCATCAAAATCGAAGGTTGCGGGCATGGCGACTTTGAGCACGGCTGCTGGAAGACTTACCCGTGTCCAATGCATTTCTAGGAACTCTTGAACAATCGAAGCATGACTGTAGTTGTTTCACGCGTTCTGGGCAGTTTGTTTGTGGCTCTGCCGGCACTTGCTTCCTACACAAATCCTGATAAGATTCGTCAAGCAAGCATCCTTTGAGAAACCTTGCTCGGAAAGAAGTCGCTTCGCCCGGCTGGTGTTGCCAACTGTACGAGAAAGGGCAGCCCGAAACTCGTCGTTCAACCCAAGGCAGTGCATTCTCTTTGGACAAACGGACAAGCGGGGATACGGAGGGAGCGGGGATATGGGGGGATTCCCTTGGCGCCATTTCCCATATCAAACTTAGTCAAGGTGCATTTAGGGGGAATCCTCCAGTATCCCTGGTTCCCCCGAAATTCGTTGTTCAACCCAAGGCAGTGTTGGCATTCTCTGGGCTTCCCCGACATTTCCTCATCCTCATCATAGGCCTGCAGCTCGGCGGAATCGCAGTCGTCATGTCCGTGTGCTCAATCTTGGCACTGGATGTACTGTAATTCTGAAGTGGACTGGTTGTCTTGTAGTTAATCTTGCGCAAAAACCAGCAATTCACTCCAAGAGCTTCACAATGCAGAGCGCTGGTGAGGACAATATTGGGGACAATGCAGCTTTTGGAAGAGTGAATGCAAGCAGTGCCAGTGCTATTGACTAGCTGCTTCGCCATTTGGATACTTCTTCCAGCCCTGCTGTCGAGTGTGCGTGCACGCCATCATCAAACAACGTGAGCGTAGGTGAAATGTGTCTTGGCAGCTGCCAATGCGGATGCAAGCTCGTCGCAGGTGAATGAGGGAGGATTGAACAAATGACCCAGTTTGAGCTCGGCGGCACAACATGACACCAGGAATACAAGAGGGGTTACGCTTGTCAACCCATGTTCTTACATACCATGCGCAGCTGAAAAGAAAATTGTCACGCTATGGCACCGGAAAAAAGTACGTGCGCAACATACAAGACTACAACGAGTCCGCCTTAACATTGGGTTGCTTGCACGCGGCTTGCTTGCCAACGCTGACAATGCATGTGATTCGCCAGCCCTCCCACTTGAATGAGGTCCATACCACAGCATCCCCTTGGACGATTTCTATCACTCCCACTTGGAAGCGTGGATGCCGGACAACCACCAGGCGATCAAATGAGCCGCAGTCATTGAACAAATCATATAGGTGCCCTTTTGATTCTACCCTGAGTTGCTTGAAAGGAAAGCAATACAAAAGATTCTTGGGCTTCCACAATTTGAAGACACGCCTAATTTGACATGGACTCTGGTTCGCTTGATTTTGGGGCCATATTTGAGCCTCTCATCTCCCATTGCAGGATGCATTCCGGGATCACCGTTTGAATCGAACTTTGGTTCAAAAAGCCACAGTGTGCTGTCGTTCCCACCCAAACATGGGGCGCCTAAGGGCCTAACTAAAAACACACCCAGCAAACAAACTCGGCGAACCAAAATGGTCATGTTGTTCATTTTGCGAAGCAACCAAAAGCCCACCGTACAAAAAACGGCGACTGTGGCGGGAGTTGGGACTGCCCCGCAACATGGCTGAGTGTACTTCGGGGACAGGGAGCCTCCACCCGAACCTGGATGGCGCTCTCTTTAGTGTGGCAAAGGGAAAACACAAAGCATTTCATTTTGGGGGTCCCATATTTTAGACACGACCATATCACTCCGAATTTGAGCCGGAACCCCCCTCAGAAGTGCTTAGTGGAATCCTGAATCACCGAATTTTGTCCCCGAAAAAGTCTCGAATAAAAAGGTTCGGCCTTTTTGTAGGGGATCCAACATGGTGGCTTTCTGTTTGGCTTCCCTTTTAAACCAGGGGCCCGTCCAAAAAGGCCTCGGTTTTCCCTTTGGCTTCCCGTTTAAACCGCACCAAAAAGAGTATCAACATAAAACCTTCAGCTTCCCTCGGTTGCTTTCTGCTCCCCTGCTGAAAGTTTAACTTTTAGTGGTTCGATGGAAAACCCATGAGTTGGCCAAAAGTGAAAGTCCTAGCTCTTCCCTTGGCAAAATGCACCAGCAGCTTCCCTGCCCTTGGCTCGAGAGCTCGAGCGAGTCCTCTCGCCTGAGTGGTCACCTTCTTGGACTGCTTGGCCGACAGAAGTGGGTCCATGGCCTCGCAGAAGACCTCCTCGCAGTCCTCGAGATGAAATGCGAACGCGCACGAAATGGCGGGAAGCAAAGCGCCGGGTGGGCCAAGTAGTGCCCATGGAGTTTTGGTTCTATCAAGGTTATGAGCCTGTGGTGGTCAAAACCGTTTTGGAATCCCCTTCTGGTTGGGATTGGTGAATTATTCACCACCCATTTTAGAACCTATTTTAGTGGTTGAATCGGATGTTCACTGGGGGCTAACCGATTTGGCTTTTGAAAAGGCCATGGCCGAATGGCGGGCAAAGCCCATTTGGTGGGGCTTGGCCAAACCCGGCCCGGAAGCTCTCAAGGTGGGTAGACAATTCTCCTGAACTTGCTTGCATTGGGTTTGGGGAGCAACAATGTTAGCATTTTAGCAGTTCAGTGGTTGGATGTCAACCACTAAACCACAATAAGCAAAAATGTAAAATGTGTCCCAACGACAACCATGTGAAGAGGAGCCGGAAGAGTTGTTTTCCTTGAAAAATGGCTGAAGCGTAAGCAAATCACCACAGCAATTTCATCAATTAATACATGCCGGTGAACAACAACATTAACAAGTTGATGTAGTTCCTGTTGCAGTTGTTCATGGTGCAATTTTCTGGTGGTCTCCCTTTCTTTCTGCCACTTTAGGCAACAAGTGGAACAAAAACCCTGTCCTTGGAGAAGGCAAGCAGCGGATTCAGATTGGGTTCGCTGCCCCGATACGGAAGAAACGAAAGGTCCCACAATCGCCCCGGGTTTAAGGCCGAGAACGGACCTTTCCCCATGCTGTTTGGTTGCATCGTGTGTGGGCGCTTAAAAAACCAGGGAGGAAAACGAAAGATCCGCCGCTTCAGAGAATGACCAAGCTGGCTTTCCATATCAGCTTTGCACTATCCTCTGTTGGTTGCAACATGTTATGTTAAATGCTAGGATTACCAGTGTGTTTTTGCTCATTCGCATTGTCAAGTCATGTTCGTCTTTAGATTAGTTGAGCCCAATCAATCGAACACGTGCAGGCATATAGGAAACACACATGACTCAACTCAATGAAGGAACTTACACACAAATATGGATGACGAAGAGCAACGAACACACACACACTGATTATATGTTAAACGATGATGTTGTATGACAATCATCATTAAAGATGCCGGCAGAAACACATGTACAAGAGGCATGAATGCATCAACAACAAACGGTCTGTGTACACATAACTACAACATCAAATCGGCGGTTTCACACAACAATGGTTGACATGTGTATTGAAACAAACAACATCAAGCACCCCTGCGAAGTCACTGCAGTACCCTTTTGGGGGGGGGTATGTGACCGGACAAGCAAAAAACATCAACCATTGCGATGAGGATCCCTTCCAACCATTATCAGCAGATCCCTTCTGGCACAAAAACACACACAGACGCACACGCACAGACACAGACACAGACACAGACACAGACACAGACACAGACACAGACAGAGACACAGACACAGACACAGACACAGACACACCACACAGACACAGACACAGACACACCACACACACACACCACACACACACACACCACACACACACACACACCACACACACACCGAAGGCATTGGACCAACTCAGGCAAAGCTTGCGAGCATTTGGCCTACCTGCACAGCTTCTCCCTGGCTTAAAAGGGTGCCAACCAGGGTCTGAAAAACTGAACATATATATATATATATATGGTACCCCCCCCCCAAAGATCGACCATTTTCTGTGTTTTATCTCTGGTGACACATCCCAGAATCTGCAAGGTTTCGGGCTTCTGGCTTCCCAACTTCATCTTGCATCTGCCTTTTGGCTGCACAGGATGAACATGTTGAAAAAACCTCGAAGAAATCAAAAAAATCAAAAATCAAAACAATCAGGGTCCTGGGAGAGAATGCCCAGGTCAGAATCTCGGAAAGTGAATAAACCTCGAAGAAATCACAAAAAGTCAAAAAAAATCAAAAAAATCAAGGTCCTGGAACAGAATGCCCAGACCCAGTGACTATCTCTCTCAAGGCCTTGATTTTTTTGTTTTTTTTTGTTTTTTTGATTTTCTCGAGGTTTTTCACTTTTCCAGGTCAGAATCTCGGAAAGTGAATAAACCTCGAAGACATCAAAAGAAATCAAAAAATCAAGGTCCTGGAACAGAATGCCCAGACCCAGTGACTATCTCTCTCAAGGCCTTGATTTTTTTGATTTTTTTTGATTTTCTCGAGGTTTTTCACTTTTCCAGATTCTGACCTGGGCATTCTCTCCCAGGACCCTGATTTTTTTGTTTTTTTTTGATTTGTTTGATTTCTTCGAGGTTTTTGTAGCTTCATGGGCCTTGCAGTGTTGGAGCTTTGGCGTACAGAGCTGCAGTTTTGCAGCCCTGCCAAGTCTGTATTGCAACCAAGGCCTGCAGTGTTGAAACTCTTGTTGGAAATGCCTTGCTTGCCTGTAGTTTGGCAGCCTTGCCAGGGCAGCAGGGAAGCCTTCAGTGTCGAAACTTTGGCAGTTGAGGCGCTCAAGTCTTGCAGTGGCCTTAGTGTTCAACTCTTGCCAAGCGGGTTGCAGTGTTGAGCTGGAACCCAGTTTGGCAGCTTGCTTGGGCAGTGTGCTGGAACTGCCAGTTTGGTGGTGGAAGTCTTGTAGCAGGTGGCAAGAACCCTTGCCAGGGTATTGAAACTTGGCAGGTTGGCAGGTTGCAGTTTTTTGCAGCCTTGCCCTGCAGATTGGCAGCCTTGTTGGAAATTGTGGAATGTTGCGCTGGGCCAGCAACCAAGTTTCAAGCCTTCCTTGCAGTGTGGGAGCTTTGGCAGACAGAGCTCCCAAGTTTGTTTTGCAAACAGGCCTGCGTTGGAACTTCTGTTTGAACTCGCTTGTCTGTAGTTCAGTGTTGGTGCAGTTGGTTGCAGATTGGATAGGCAATTTTGCAACCTCCAGGTCTGTAGTTTGGCAGCCTTGCTTGGGAAGTCTTGCAGTGTTGAGTTAGCAAGAGGTTGTAGTTTGAAACCTTGCTCTGCAGTTTAGCAGACTGCTTGGCAGGCTTGAAAAGCCTTGCAGTTGGGTGTGCCTGCAGTGTTGGAGCCTTGCAGTTTGGATTTTGCAGCCTTATTTGTAGTTTGGCAGACCTTGCAGCAAGTGGGAAGCCTGCAGTGTTGAAACTTTGGCAGGTTGGCAAGGTTGGCAAGGGCTGTAGTTTTGCAACCCTGCAGTGTTGGAGCCCTTGCAGGTTGGCAATTTTGCAACCTTGCCAGGGCACTGCAGTTTAGCAGACTTGCTTGGAAAGTCTTGCAGCTACAGTGTTGGAACCTTGCAGGTTGGCAACTTTGCAACCTTGCCAGGTCTGTAGTTTGGCACCTTTGCTTGGGCAGAAGCCCTGCCAAGTCTGTTTTGCAACCAAGGCCTGCAGTGCCTGCAGTTTAGCAGACTTGCTTTGCCAGGTCTGTAGTTTGGCAGCTTTGCTTGGGCAGTGTCTTGGAAACTCTTGAAGTTTTGGAAACTTCAGGTTGCCAGGGGCTGCAGTTTTGCAAAGCCTTGCAGTGTTGCAGCCCTGGCAGGTGCGCAATTTTGCAACCGTCCTCAACAACACTGCACTTGAATGTCGACCCCAGCATATGCACATCTGTTTCTTGCAATAATGCACCGCATCTTTCTCAAAACACAGAAAATGGTCGATCTTTGGGGGGGGGGGATAGCATATATATATATATATATATCCACTTTTGGAATGTCCCATTTAGAGGACATTGACAAATAATTTCACCATTGAACAAATATGATCCATCCCCAACATGCGAGGGGAAGGAGGGCTGCTGGAAAAGTCGAAGAAAACTCCATCCCCCTAACCTCTGAAAGAATACAAGAAATCGGGGGTTGATCAACGTTCCCTGACAACAGCTAACTTTGTTCCCATGTTGAAATATGTCAAATCAGCCTTTCTTCGGGTTCCCCCCCCCATACTCCCATGTGGATGTGTCATGTTTTGAGTTGGTACCCCTTTCTACACCGGGCCCCATATTTCTCAACCCTGGTTGACTAAAAGGGGGAGGGTGTCCCTGGCTTTGGTGGGTTGAAGAATATGGGCTGAACAGTAATCCCGAAAAACTCAACAAAAAGAAACCTGCGAAAACAGCCCCTTGCCAGCCTGCGTACTCTGGGGGAACCTTATGACCAGTTTGAACCCTAAGCAACCCCAATATGAGTTCACGCTAATCGATCGGTCTGAGAGTCTGCCTCCTGCTCTTCCGACTCCGACTGGCAAGGCGAGGAGACGACAGTTCCACGGGGGGTGGGGCGGGGTGGGGCGGGGCGGGGCGGAGCGGGGGTGGGGTTGCCGTGGACGGTTTGAAAGCCGAAGCGTGGCCATGGCTTCTAAGAGGTTGGAAAGGGGGAGCAGTAGAAAAATATCAAAGAAACTTCTTGCTTTGAAAAAGGGGAGGTGGGGAACGGGCAAAAGGCGGCCCATCTCCGGTTCAGAGATCGGTCAGCCAAGTGGATGTTTGCTGGTCTCTCGGCTCAAACGCAGAGCTGACAAGTTTGAGGA